GATTTGAGGCAGGTGCATGAGGTGATAACATGGGTAAATATTTTTCGACATTGTACTCGAACTGCCCGAATGTAGTGAACCATTATTTTCCCCTCCCTCAGCGACTCTCGGGTAAAAAGGTCTACTCAGGCGTCATTACTGAAACTAGTCTAATATCAGAGGCAATTCGCACATGTTTGATATCGTTACAGTTGTTGGTCGCACGAGGAAGGGGTTGATGAGCACGGGCCTTTCTCCACAAGTGTAAGCATGCTGCCGCCATTGTTGGCAAGCGTGTTTTTTTCTGTTCATGCCTCGGACAGTGCGTTTCTGGAAGAGGTTTACAAGCAAGTAAATCACGTTCACACTGTATGGAAGTTCAAAGCAATTGCTCTAATGGCCTCGGTTGGATCTCGCTAGTGCTCCTCGTGTGCCCAGTGCGCCCACGGCCAAGTTGTCACACGGTGAACCTGCCCATAACTGGGTCAAATGGTCTGGTATTTGGTGATGTCGCATCTGTCTCACAGGGTGCCGCCAGTCAGATGAGCCCAAATCTGACCACTGCGAAGTGTAGCAAACTCGACGAAGGTGTTCTTGGCCTAGGGCTGCCACGAGGGTGCGAAGTCATTCGCGGTTCGCTGTTCGCGATTTGGAATTCCTCATCCTCGTCCTTGCCCTCCTCTTCTCCCCAGGGAAGCGGTGCGAGAGCGCGAAGCTATTCGCGCTTCGCGCATCGCGGAGCGCAAGCATAGTTGCCTTTGTTTGCATATCACTTGGGCACGGTTTCGGCGTTGCATGCTATTAGTTCGCATGCATTGTGACAGCGCGGGTCATTTTCTTAGTTCGCATGCGTTGCAGGGTCCACAGCATTGGTGTGAGCGTTGACTGGCTTAGTAAGACGTGCAGACATGCTGAATATGCGTGGTGTGACATGTGTCAACGTGTTCACACTCATCCTCGGCGCATGCATGTTGCTGTCAATGGCGACTCTGTGGGCTTGTGTATTTGTGAGAAGTCCTTGGTTCCGGCAGGCGATGCGTTTGTATCGCTGCTCAGCAGAGTTATGTGGCCGATTTGCCCTCATCCTGTTCTGGTGCCCTGTTGCTGCTTTGCTGGTGCGAGGCCCTTTTCGGCCTCCGCTGGGCTGGTCGTGGGCCCTCATACACGGAAAGCTTATTGTTAAGTCGGGTGCGTCTTTCTACAGGAGGAGTGCCAACAATTAGTAAAATTAGTATGGGGGCGATGTTTGTTCATATCTATATATATATATATATATGGAGTATGTTTGACTATTCTTTATTTGTCGTCCAAAATCCGCCTGCAGGAGGACACGCCCGACCTAAGCTTATTGTCGAGGCCTTTCCCCTTCCCCAGAGGGCGCCCAAGACCCATAAAACTGGTATAAGTATTCAATTACCTCGTCGAGTTTCGACCCGCGAGTTCTCCCGAAAGCCGAGCAAGAGTTGTGCCCTCGGGAAAAGATGCAGAAGAGGAGGCGCAGCGACGCGGCGGCGGCCGCCGCGGCTGCTCGTTGGCGTCGTCGTCGCCCTCTTTCGTCGCCGTCTTCTCAATTCGTCGTCGTCGTCGTCTTTGGTCGTCGTCGTCGTCGTCGTCGTCGCGCCCGCGCGGCTGGGGCAGAGGCGCGGGTGGCGCTCGTCTACCAGCAGGCCTCGCTGAGCTGCGCGTTTTTCGCCGAGGCGCCGAGCCTGGACCCGCCTCGTGCCCTGGACGCCGGGCCGCACCTTGGTGGCGCGAAGATACTCGCGCTTCGCGCGTCGCGGCCTGGACCAGAGAGTTGCCCTTCTCGCCAAGGTTCGGGGGCCTCCAAACGGGGTGGTGACCACACCGTGCGGTGAGTCGGTGGGGATTCGGGGTCACCGCACGGTTTTGGGACTCGAGTCCCTCTCCGAGGACGTCTCGGGCGGCAGGGGCCTCCGGGGTCCCAAGACCTTGCGGTGACGGACCGTGCGGTGAGGTCTTGGGGGATTTCGAGGTCATCGCACGGTCTGTCACCGTACCGTTTCGGGACTCCAAATTCGCGCGTCGCGGCCTGGACCAGAGAGTTGCCCTTCTCTCCAAGGTGGCCTCGCGAGGGCGCGAAGACAACCGCGCGTCGCGCATCACGGGGCGCGATGCGCGATGTTAGGTGACCAGGCCGCAACAAAAAACTGCGTGGCGTGAAGAGCGAGTGTTTGGAAGGGAGCAGACAGCTCCACAGAACGCGCGCTGGAAAACCATGGCGTCACGGGAGTGCCCAGCGCGTGACTGCTGCCATTGTCCGTGCGCACATCTGCTCAAGTGTCTGAGGCATGAGCAGCTCGACTGCCCTGGCTTTCGGCGGATTCTTGCTGCTGCCCTCCATCCGCCACCCGGCCCACCTCCTCGCCCAGGTTCCGCCGCCCCCCGGCGTGCCCCGTGCCGCCCGAGGGGCCGCCCGCCGGTCTGGCGCCGCTGGAGGCCGAGCTCGAGTGCCCTTCCACTGGAGGCCCCGAGCGGCACGCTTGTGCAGGAAGTGGAGCTCTGCGATCGCGCTGCAACGTTGGAGTAGCCATCAGCTGAACAGAAAAAGGCCGAGCTCGACTCGGTCGGGGAGTCGCGGAAGAGGGCGCCGTCCGCGACCTGCGGGGGCACGCCGAGGCGTCGACGGTCGACACCATCTCCGCGGCGGAGGAGGGCGGCCAGGATCGGGGCGCAGCAGCCCACGGTGTGGCCGCCGGCGGAGGCGGAGCCCACGCGAAGGAGCTGACGTTGGCCACGGCGGCCATGCTCGGGAGTGCTTCCTGTGCCGCAGGCGCCACGGCTGTTGGCCGCCGGGAAGTTCCCGTACCGCGGGAGGTGGCCGACCCTGCGCCGTGCGGACGGCTCCGCCGTCGGGGTGCAGGGGCTCTGCAGTGCGCTCTCGCGCTGTGGTGCGAAGGCGACGACGTCTGGCACCACAGGATCTAGTTGTACCCGGCGTCGCCAGAAGCGTGCTACACAATCCCGCCTGGCGGAGCCTGCCATGAGCCCGAGGTGTGCGTGAGGGTTTTTCGGATTGGTCGTGATGGGGAGAGGCTTCCGGTGAAACGCGGGAATTTCTACCAACATGCGGAGAAGGTGCTTGGCAGCAATCTTCGGAGGTTGATTCGAGGCGCCCGCGCTGAATTGCAAGAGGCGTGTGAGCCACTTGATAGATCCTAGACGGTATTTCGCAGATGGCAGGATCGAGCCATTCGAGACGGCGGCGACGCGAGATGCAGGGCGTGCGGCCGGCATGCCCACTCCACCGTTGCCGTCGCCTGCGGACGCCCCCACCCGAGGCTGAGGGGGCCGAGGGCGGCGCGGACCCCCATCCTCGAGTTGGACGCGCCCGAGGGCCGTGAGTGGTTTGTCGCCGACGCTCCGCACCTGCTTCGGATCGTGCAGTTGACCCGGCATGGCTTCAGGGCTGATTCGAAGAAACAAAAAACGCCATAAACGTAGACTGTTGGCGTTCCACGTGGATTTCTTGGATCCGCGCCTGGGCCCCCCCGGCGGCGCCTCCGGCGCCGCCCTTGGCGCGCTCCGCGCGCCAGGGAAGGGGGGGCCAGTCCAGATCCAAGAAATCCGCGCGGAGCGCCAAACATTTATGTTTGTGTTTTTTTTCTTTGACGGTAGGCGCAACGCAGTGTCACGTGTTGGCGGCCAGTGGCTGGGATCGAGGCAATCGACCCCGAGAGCATGTCAGAGTTAGCAGGTACCGCACCAACTATTTCGAGGACTGGTTGGATGGCCGTCGTGCCACCGAGGCCGAGTCACTGGCGGGCCTGGAAAAGGTCGGCAAACCGTTTGACGCCCTGGTGGAACAGCATGAGCGAGGTGAAGTTAAAGAGGAGGCCGATGACGCACGCACGCTGTGGACAGTGACAGATGACAGCGGGGAGCGACACGGGCCGTGGATATCGGTAGCGGAGGAGGCCCGCTTCCACTCTTACCACGATTGATTTTTCGAGGACCAGCGCTCTCATACCCTCCACATCGTCAGGAGGTTTGACCGAGCTCGAGGGCGCCCTCTCCTGCGGCTGGCCCTTTGGCTCCGTGACAAAGGCATCGACCAGAGCGAGCGCGCTGCCATCAAGGTGGCCGCCCTCCTCACCAGCGCGATGCTCGCAGTTGCGCACGATCAACTAGTGCTGCGCAAGAGGGTCGCCCAGATCACCGATGTATACATGAAAAACACAGCCCGGCCCAAGTCGCAGGGCTTGAAAAGTACAAGGGCACTGGCGGCACGTTCGACGTCGTGGCAGGGTCGCAGAGCGCGGCGGCTCGAAAGCAAAAGGAGAAGGCTGAGGTCGAGAATGCGAAGAACCGACTGAGTGGCCAGCCCGCCTGCAGCCCCATCGCGAATGATGCCGCGCCTGGGTCTCTTCCGGCAGGGGCCCGAAAGGGGGGCTGCAAGGGCCCTGGGGGCCCCAGCCCGGGGGGCGGCGACGGCGCCGGAGGCGGGCGAAGCAGCTGCAGCAGCTGCAGCCGCAGCCCAGGCGTCTTCGGCCAGGCAAATGACCTCGGCACCCCACGCAGGAACAAGCGTTTCACGGTTTTTTGTCGGCCCAGCCAGGAGGCGCGGGCGTCTTCCTCCGCCCTCCCCGCCGCGGGGGCGGGGCGCCGGCCAGTCTGCGGCGGTGCGCGCGCATTTTGAGAGGTGTTGGCCACGCGCTGACGGCCGATGGAGGGCGCGATCCCTTTGCCGCAGGGGGCTTTTCCAATTTTCGCCAGCGGCCGCTCGGTTTACGCGGCCGAGGCGGGCAGAAGAAGCATCGATCATCTCCGACATGCGTGGCAGATCTCTGTCCCTAACTCATTGCGCGGTGCCCGCGCCTGTCTGAGATTTTGCCATCTGGGGCGCTCCGCTGTTTGAGCGACGATATTAAACCCGCGCTGTTTACGCCGCCTGGGCGAGAGGCCTGGGCGGCGGACTCAGGACATGGACCTCGCAGGGGCCCCTCTCTCCAGCGCGTCCGCGCAAGGCGCGCGCGCCCCCTGCGGGATTCGCGGGGCCGCGCCCGCCTCGCGGTTTTGAAATGCTGATGGGGCGGAGGAGGACCGGGAGGAGGAGGGGGGGGGAGGGGGTGGTGGTGGTGGTGGTGGGTGGTGGGTGGTGGGGAGGAGGAGGAGGAGGAGGAGGAGGAGGAGGAGGAGGAGGAGGAGGAGGAGGAGGAGGAGGAGGAGGAGGAGGAGGAGGAGGAGGAGGAGGAGGAGGAGGAGGAGGAGAGGTTGAGGAGGAGGAGGGGGAGGAGGAAGAGGAGGAGGGGGGGAGGAGGAGGAGGAGGGGGAGGAGGAGGAGGAGGAGTAGGGGGAGGTGGGCATTGTCTCGTTGCCAAGGAGGAGACGGGTCGATTGGAATTCACTGTGGATGTTCGACGGCCCAATCTGAATCTCTGTTCTCCGCCAAGGGTGGGCCCCGCGACCGCCGGGGGCCCGGCGGAGATAGGTGGGCCGTCGCACTCGCGAGCGCTTGTCTCCCGAAGATAAGGGCTTCGAATTCTGCGCCCAGCCGGCGCGGGCCAGCGAGCTTCGACTCGCGGGGGGTGAAGTTAGACGGTCCATGTGGGGGCCAGTTTTTGTATGTCTTTCTTGTTTTGGTGATCTTCTCCGCGGGCTTCACGCGGCCCTTGTGCTTCTGCCCGCGCGCCGACGAAGGCGTCGTCGGCTCCGCCCCAAGGTTGCTCTCGGTCTTGCGCCTCAGTGACAGGCCCACAGGGGCGCCGTGGGGGCTTCGGGGCCCGCCGATGCAAGCGCGCGCGGCACGTGCGCGGACCGCGTCGGAGGCGTCGGCTTGGGGAAGGCAGAAGTGCGAAGTTTTACGGTCGGCTTGGGCGCCCGCGGCTACGAGAGACTTCGGGGCGCGCTCTCGACGGGGGCGGCCTGCGCGCCCGCGTCGCTCCCACGCGGCGCTGGCGGGCGAGAGAGGCCCAACTCTTGGCCCTCCGGCCTCCGTAGCAGGGGCGCCTCGCGCGCGCTCGGCTCCCCGTGCAAGCTCATCCGGGCCAACTGTTTGGGGGCCGCGCGTCTCTGGGAGTCGAGCCTCGGCGAGGTGGATGCCTCCTTCGGCTTTGTGCCTCTGCTCGCGGCGAGTGCCGCCAGGACTGTTGCGGCCGCGGCCGACGCCCCCGCGCCCGGGCGTGCCGCGGGCGCCGCTTCGGCGCAGACGGCGCGAGCGGCATTGGTGGAGTACAAGAGCAGTCTCGCTTCAAGAGAATGGCAGGCCGATCAGCGCGCGATCGCGTCTTTGCTGCAGGCGATATTGCGCTCGACGCGGATGGCCGCTGGCGTCCAAGGTAGGAGGTCGGAGGCAAGTTGGCGCCGGGCGGCCGCCGGGGGCGGGGCGTAGGCCCTCTGTCGCGATGAATCGATGCAGGGCTCTTCAACGAGAGACAGCGGGGGGAGATGGCGGTTAGGGCCTTGAAAAGGGCCTTCCGTGGGCTTCCTCGCCCTCGTTAGCCGCGCCCTTTTTAAAGCCTTCGAGGTCGCCGTCAGCCATGGCGGGCCTCCCAGTTGCTTTTGGCGCGCGGCGGCCCCGAGATTGGCCCCGCGCGCCGAGGCGCGCGCAGGGTGGCCCCCGGGCGAGGCCAGCGTGACCGATCGCGTATCCAGATATCACGACCCGACCTACGATGGTAACCAAACCGCAGTTCTTCTCTCGGAACGTTTGGCGGATGTCGCCGAAAGGCCTGACGTTAAAATCTGTTTTGAGGGCGACGTCGCAGCTGGCGATGAGGTAGCTTGGCCAACGGAGACTCAGGTCGCGATGAATTTTGCCAGGGGTTCTGGAATCAATGACAACTCAGGCACCGCAGACGCGTTGAATGTGATTGGCCAGATTGATGCGAATAGCGAGTTGACTGGCCCGCGCGTCGGCGTTGCGGCTCAGCCCCTTGATGGGCCTCGAGGGCGCGCGGGCGACAGTCTCGCCCCCTGCCAGCCCGCCCGCCGCAGGCGATTGACCGCTCCAGAGGGCGCCCTGCCCGTCGAGGGCCGCTCGCGGGCGATGGGGGCCGCCGTTGGCCCCGGGCCCCGGGCGCCCTCGGCCCGCCGGGCACCGCGGGCGCCGTGCCCGAGTGGCGGCCCAGACGCGCCAGCGCCCGGGCCAGGCGCGGACGCGGGCCCGCCGTTGAAGAGGCCGCGGACGATGACGCCGCCCAGCGGGCGAAAGCTGGGACGGGGAGGCTCCGCCAGGAAATTTGTTCACCATCTGGTCCTTCTCGGCCGGCCGCTGTCCTGCCAGCTCGCCGACCGCCGCCTGCCCGACTCCGAGGGCGAGAGCCAGGCGTCGACCGAGCACGAGGGGCCTTCGGCGGGGGCAGGAGCTGAAAGCCGTGGGCCGTCGGCGGCAGCGCCTGTCGGCGAATTTCGCGGCCTTGCGGGGGCCTGGCAAGGTGGCCGCCAAGGGTCGCGCGACCGGCGAAGACGCCGCCGACCGCCCCCGCAGGAACGCCGCCCAGGACTTCTGGAGCCAGGTGCCCGACGCCATAAATGAGATCGCTGGGGCGACGTGAGCTACGCGAGCGAGAGCTCAAGCGCGGGAAGCGTGCCCAGGTTGGGGGGCCCCCGCGGCGGCCGTGATTCGCATCTCCCCGGACTTCGGGAACCGTGGCGCTCGGGGGCCCCATCGCTTGCTCCTGGCGCGGCGGGCCTGGGGGCGTCGCCGCCTGAGTGGCTTCCTAAGCCGCGGCCCCGTGGCCCGCGCCATCTGGGCCGCGGCGGCATGCGATTTGGCCCGCGAAGATTTCCGGAAGGCAGACCCGGCAAGCCTTTCGCGACGCAGCGACGGGGCCTCGTCCGCCCAGACGTCCGGGGACGCGACGACCGGGGAGCGGCGCTAGCCCAGACTCGCGAGACCGAGCAAGACCGAGCAAGGGAGACCGCCCGCCGCAGCGTGGCCATCTCATCGAATAGCAATATCTTTCCTTGGCCCCCGCAACTCATTCCGCGCGGTTCGCAGGGGAGCCGGGCGGCGTGATCTTCGACCGCAGCTGCGACGAGATCCCGCGGCAGTCCTCGGTCGCCGCCCACCGCATCAGGCCGCCGAAGCTGGCGGCGCGCCGGGCTCGCAACATCGGAGCGAGCCTCAGTCGACATGGACGAGGCAGAGACATCCTCGATATGGGAAAGCGGGGGCGGCGGGCCTTGGATTGAAGCCTCTCCGTCGCTGCGCGGACGCCGCGCGCGCGCTGCTGATCCGAGCGGCCAGCGAGCTGACGCCGAAGCAGCCGGGCAACCCTGTTCAACCAGGCAAACAAACATACTCCTCGAGGACATCTTCTTCGGCTGAAAGGCCCCGCTCTCCATGCGCGTCCGCTCGGCTTGAAGCCTGGCCAGTTTTTCGCGTATCTTTTCAGTGGGCGCAAGGATGTCGGGCGAACCGCCTGGCGCTTCGGGGTGCCGGCGCGGCGCTGCGACAATATGCTCAGCCCATGGCTTGACCTCGCCCGACCTCCAGTGCTGGCGCAGCGAGCCTGGCAGCCCCGTGCGTTAGTTCCAGCGATGCCATAAACCTTATATGCGCCATCGGTATTTTTCATTAACCATGGGGGTGGTTGGCAAGTCGGTTAGACGGAAACAGATTCATGGAGTCTGTCCGGGCTACATGAGGTGAACCACAAATATCCCGTGGGTCCTGGAGAACGCGCAAACAAGCAATATGTGGAAGTTGCCGGACATTGTCAGCCTGGCCGCCCAACATGTGCCATCAGTTACTTATTGATACCTGCTGCTACGGGCCTCTTTTTTTCGGAAAACGCACCCACCTCCTGTTCGGACGCGTGGGACCAAATAACTTGAAGATCGTCGATGGCCGAACGTATCGTGGAAAAAAACTGCTGCTCGTTCCAAGCAAGAAGCACGCCGCGCTGACGAGCCAATACCCCGCCCCTCATATCAGCTGTTTTTTTCCGCCCAGACTACCCCCTTGTCTTTGCCAAACGCATAATGATGCGCCCTCATTTCGAAGCAAGCATCCGAATTCGGGGATGATTCGGGTTTTTGAAGCCTTCGAGGCTGGGCGCCTTCTTGCAGCCCTGTTTTCACGCGCGTGCTACGTTTCCCTGCCGAGACCCCCCAGACAGACTCACCGTGCTCAGGGAAATTCACCATCTGCCACTTGGGAGTGTTCAGCACGTTGTTGTTGCGACTGTACTTTTTGCACGTCTTCTCAATCGCCCCACCCCCCACCTTGGGGTTTTGAAATCGTCGAGGCCAGGCGCTCCCAACCTGTATGTCGCCTGGCCTCTTGCAGCCTTGTTTGCACACGAGTGCTTCGTTTTTCTGTCGAGATTCCGTGGGCAGACTTGTTGTGCCCAGGAAAACGGAAGACTCTGTGCCACGCAGGTCTGGCAGGGATTCCAGGGCCCCGAAAGGGGGGGTGCCGTCCAGACGGGATCGCGATTTTTAGCTGCATCTGTGGCCCCCCAGAAGCCTGGCGACCTCCGGAGATTTCCGCGAAGGGACCCGGGGACTTCGGGGTCGTCCGAAGATCTCAATTTGGAGGGTTTCGCGCGAGGCGATCTATGGTCCCCGTCTCCGCGCGCGTAAGTTTTGACGCATGTGTTCGGTGTCAGTGTATCCGACAACATATGTAAGAGCACATCCGTCATATAAGTTGTTTGTGTCCTATATTCCCTCCCGCATTCCGCTTTTCCTCATACCTTACCTATATCTATATGTGAACTCATCTGCTGCTGTTTTTGGCTCGTCGCTCGGCTGAGGTGCCGGCCCGCTGGTTGGTCCACGGGGCCCTGAAGATAGCTCAGCCAGCAATGCCGCTTTCATGAGCTCCTCCCCTTGTGGGCCCAGGGAGTTTCCCTGCGTTGGGTGCCGCGCATTGTCGCCCGTCCTTGCGCCCGGGCATCTCCCGCCCGCTTGCTTCATGTTTGAGTAATGGGGTAGCGCCCCAACCGCCTCGAGAGATCGACGCGGAGAAGTGGGACAATGATGGAAGTAGGAGGGGAAGGAGAACGACGAGGTGGAAGGGAAACCGGGAAGAGACAAAGTGATCAAGTCATTGCCGGTGTTGATTTGGTTGACGGTGGTGATATTGATGTTTGTGGTGGTTTCAACGTTGTCGAACATGTTGATGGTTATGATGGGGACGGTGATTGCGATGATGGCGACTAAATGAATGATTATGATCATCATCGTCATGATGATGATGATGATGATGATGATGATGATGATGATGATGATGCTGATGATGAGGATGATGATGATGATGATGATGATGATGATGATGATGATGATGATGATGATGATGATGATGATGATGATGATGATGATGATGATGATGATGATGATGATGATGATGATGATGATGATGATGATGATGATGATGATGATGATGATGATGATGATGATGATGATGATGATGAGAGATGAGGAGGATGAGGATGAGGATGGAGAGGATGAGGATGAGGATGAGGATGAGGATGAGGATGAGGATGAGGATGAGGATGAGGATGAGGATGAGGATGAGGATGAGGATGAGGATGAGGAGGAGGAGGAGGAGGAGGAGGAGGAGGAGGAGGAGGAGGCGGAGGCGGAGGGTGCAGGTGAAAGGGGAGAGGGACGACGGAGAGATGGATTGGAGGAGGATGAACAGCAGGAGTGAGAGTAGTGCCAGCGGGGATGGCGCATCTCTATCGCTTTCCCTCGGCCTCGTCGTCGTCCGCCCCCCTCCTTTCCCCCCTCGGCCTCCTCGTCGTCGGCCCCCCTCTCCACGCCTTCCGTCCTTCGGTCGGCCTCGTCGTCGTTGTTGGCCCCCCTTCTCCTCCCCTTCTCTCTCTTCGTCGTCGGCTCCCTCCTCCTCCTCCTCCTCGCCCCCTCCACCCCCCAGTCCTTGGTTGTGCGCCGTGGTGGCCTTCGCCACCCCCGGCCGCAGGAGTGTTGCCGCCGTGGCGCGAGGCACCCTCGCCCCGGGAGGCGGATTCCCTCGGGCCCCCAAGGGCAAGCGGCTTTTCACACCCCGCCAATTTTCGATGAAACGCAAGACCCTGTTGATCGTCGTGTCGTCGCACTGCGTGCGCGGAGAGGATGCGGGTCGAAGGACGAAGTTCAACACGCCCCGGCTCGCCCGCGAGCCTGTGCCGAGCGCCGCCGCCCCCGCGCCAGATCTGGCACGACTTCTCCGCTTGGCTAGACCTGGGCGGCGACAGGGAGAGGGCCACCCTGGTGCTCCGGCAGGCTCGAGCGGCGGCGCGGGGGGTCGGGGGCCCGGTTTGGAGGGGGGGGGGGCGGGGCAGACGGGCGGGGGCGGAGGTGTGAGGGCGGAGGAACGAGGGAGAGGAGGGTGGGATGAGCAGAACGAGCATGAGAAGGCGGAGGAAGCAGAGGAGGAGGAGGAGGAGGAGGAGGAGGAGGAGGAGGAGGAAGAGGCACAGGAGGCATAGGAGTTGCGCACAGGAGTTGGACGATGAGAACCCAGACGATTATCATTCGAAAGAAGATGAGGGTGCGGATAAGTAGGATGTGATAATGTGGAAGGGGAGGAAGGGAGGGAGGGTTGGAGGAGGCGGAGGATGCCCGCCCCAAACAACCCCTGGCTTCTGCTGCGTCTGTCGCCTCGGCTGGTGCTCCTCCGCATCCTCGCTTCCCTCCTCTTCCTCCCTTCGCCTCGCCCCGCCCCTATTCTCCATCCTCCTTCCCATCCCCCCAATCCCGTGTTCGTTCTTCCTCTTCGGATCGGGAAGGTGGTACTGAGAGGGAGGGGACGGCGGCAGCGTGGAGGGGGTGGAGGAGGGCAGGGGCGGAAGAGCGGCGGGGGTGCGGAAGTGGAGGCCTGGGTGTGGTTAGTGAGATCGGGGAGGGCGGGGGGGCGAGAAGGTTGAGAGGGCGGGCGGGAGGGCGAGCGGGGAGCACGGGGAGGTGGAGGGCAGTAGTCTATGTCTCGGTTGGATGGGCTATATCCCGGTTGGACGGGCGGTTCCCCAGCTGACCGGGGGAAACTGTAGGCTCTGGAAGACCTTCCGCAGTTGATTTCGATGGTACGCCATCTTTGGGAAGTTTGGAGTGCCAGTGGTGTGTCTTTGAGGAGTCCACGTGGCTTCCTGGGAACAACAGCGGGGGAACAACCCATCTGCAGCAATGACAGTATGAGTTGGCGCTGGCTTGCTCTGCTGGCTATCTGTGCAGGGTGGCAGTAGTAGTAGTAGTAGTAGTAGTAGTAGTAGTAGTAGTAGTAGTAGTAGTAGTAGTAGTAGTAGTAGTAGTAGTAGTAGTAGTAGTAGTAGTAGTAGTAGTAGTAGTAGTAGTAGTAGTAGTAGTAGTAGTAGTAGTAGTAGTAGCAGCAGTAGTAGTAGTAGTAGTAGTAGTAGTAGTAGTAGTAGTAGTAGTAGTAGTAGTAGTAGTCGTAAATCTAGTAGCCGTAGTAGTAGTAGTAGTAGTAGCAGTAGTGGTCGTAGTCGTAGTGGTGATAGTAGTAGTAGTAGTAGTAGTAGTAAGTGTATAGTAGTTAAGTAGGAGTAAGCAGTAGTCGTGTAGTAATAGTAGTAGTAATAGTAGTAGTAAGTATA